AATAATAATAAGAATATATTTGAAATTATCAATTAATGTTGATAATAATCAGAATATAACAATTAAATGAATTAAATGAAATAATGAATTGATATTATTATTCATGAAGATATGAAAATGATAAGAAATAATAAATAGAATTTATTGTTAATTTTCATTTAAAAATAAATAATCTTTTTGTATGTAATTTTATATAAATTCAAATTAAATAAATAATAGAAATTTAATGAAAATATCAAATAATAAAAAAGGGAGTAATCATTATTTTTATTTTATATTAATTTTAATTTGTCTTTCATTTTTAATGATTAAGAAATAACAACAATTTCAAATAAATAAAATTAATGTTATGAAAAATGTTAAAAATAAGAGTATTGTTATAAAGATAATCAATATAAAGTTATGAGTATGAAAAATAGATGAAAATAATAAAAATGGAATATTTCTAATATATTATCAAATATAGATAAAAGGGAGTATAAAAATAAGAAATGAAAAAAGAACAGAGAATAAAGAAGTGTGAAATACTGAATTATTGATTTTTCATTTATCAAATGAAATATTAATTGTTATTATATTTTTTATTCATTAATGTAAATCTAATAATATTGATTTATCAATTAATATACATTGTTAATCTTATCATTTATCTATCATATACATCATTAATTATTTTATTCTTGAAATTTCATATATTTCATTATTCAATAATTTGATAAAAACATTAATGAATATTAGAATTGATAATAACGAAGAATGAAAATATAAAATGAATATGATCAGATTAAATATAATAAATATATTTGAATAATGTTATTATTTGAATATTAAAAAGAATAGAAGTTGGAATAAATGGAATTTGAAAATATAGAATTTAATTTGATAAAGAAAAAAGAAAATCAAAGAATAATTATAATAATAGAAGAAGGATAAGATTAAATACAGAAATATTAATTAAATGTATTACATTATTTATATTATTAATATTTTAAATTTGTTTATATTGTTTAAATTAAAATAATAAAATGTAATCATGATTTGAAGAATATAGAAATTCTATTAATTTAAATAATATTAAAATTATGAAATAGAATTATAAAATAACAATGAATAAAATATTTATAAATAATGAAAATGATGTGATATTTCAATTCATGAAAATTGAATTATTATTAACTAATATATCTTTATTGTAATTTATGATATTTTCATCATTATTAATATATTTATAATGAGTATTGAAATCAATTTCATTAAAATATGTAACTATTACATATTTATATATTTGATTATTCTTTATTACATCATAACAAAATATGATTAATAGATTAAATAATGTTATGATTATGTTTATAATATTTTGAAATATCAATATTGATTATTTTAGAATTAATACTTCAATTAATAATTATTTATTCTTATATCTTTATTAATTTGATGAATGAAATTATTTTTATATTTAATTACATATTGTTACTGATAATTTCATATTATTAAATATATTATTTGTATTTCTTATATATTCACTTCATTTCCTTCATTTAATTATTATTTAATTCACTTATTTATTATTAATCATTTTCATTTTAATTATTTAATTATTTTCTTTCATTTATATGCATTTCTATTATTTCTTTTATTTCTTATTTGTTGTTGTCTTTTATTATGATATTGTTTTATATCTGTATTATGTTTTATTATGATATTTATTTGTTTTATAATACTGATTGATTCTATTTGAATTAATGATAAAATATTTATGATGATGAAAATGAATAAAGTGATGAATGAAATAATTCATACAATTATTATTATTATTGTTATGATGATAGTTAATATTATGGTAATGTTTAATATGATAATTAATGTGTTTCTATCAATACAGATAATACCTGTTCTCATTCTTTTATTATTGAATTTTTGTTTTATTTCTTGTATTTCATTTTTATCAAAAGAAAATAAATGAAAAATATAAATAAAAATAAAACAAAAAAGATAGTAATTTATATATAACAATCATTACCCCTTCAATGTTATTATAATTTTATAACAACCATTTTGAAACAATAAAATTAAATGAAGAAACAATAAATTGTAATATAACATGAAAGAAATACGAAATAAATCAAATGATTTTATCTATTTTTAATTTAAATAAATTCAATTCAAGAAAAACGATAAAAATAAATAAAGAATAAATAAATTATTTTGAAATTTTACATTGATGAAAACTTCATTGTAATGTTATTTCATGAAAACATAATTAACGATAAAAATATAGTGAAATATAAAAATAAAAGTGAATAAAATATTAAAACAAATGACTTTTAAAAGAAATAACCAACCAGAAATGAAGTAATATTTTTAAACAAATAACCTATTTTCTAAATTATCAATATTTAAACTACAAAATAAACTTATTATTCATCAAATGTCAAGAGTAACAGTAAGATTCTTCTTGAATGAACAGTTTATTTCATTTATCAAACTGAATTCACAAGACAATTTGAAAACAGTAAGAGAGAAATTAAGTGAAAAGATGTCTGGTTCTCATCAATTCCTAACAAAAGAAGGAGATTTAATTGATATAAATGATGAAGAGTCAGTTACTGTAGGCAATGTAATTGATTCATCAGAAATAATAAATATCAAAGAAAAAGAAGATAAAAAGGGAACAAGAATAAAACAAAAGGATAAAAAAGTTACTACTGTTCAAATAGATAAGAAAACAAAGTCAAATGATATCAGGAAATCAATTCAAAGTATTCCAGAAACTGCACATTTCTATACACCCGATAATGAAATAATTGATAAAATTGATAAAGATTTAGTTTTAGCAAAAAGTACATCAAATAATGATGAGGCTATTCTTAAAAATGAGAAAGAAAATATTGTAAGAATTGGAATATTATTGAACGAAAAGCCAATAATAAAAAAACAATTAAATAAAAATTCTTATCTTTCAGATATCAGAAAGATAATTGAAAGTCTAAAAAAATATTCCAAAAGACTTTGTATTTAAAGACCAAGAAGGATTTGAAATACCAACTGATGAAGAACAGTCATATAAATTATCAGATATTCTGTATAATAACAAGATCAATATAACAACAGAAACGTTTGGTGCTTCATCAAATAATACTGTAGTACCTGTTAGTTCACCATGTAATACTTTAGTTTCTGGTAGTTCATTAAATATCACTACAATACCTGTTGGTTCACTATGTAATATTACAGTACCTCATACTTCTACAAGTAATACTTTAGTCTCTGATAGTTCACTAAATAATAATATGGTCATATCTTATATTTCAACAAATGATACTACCATTGTATCTGAACAAAATATTCCAATTGAAGGAAGTAAACTATTGAAAAATAAAGAAGGAAAATTGAAAATATATTTATATCCAAATGAACCATTTAATCAAAAAGATGAGAGTGAAGCAGTTTCTATTTTAGTTATTGGTGAAACAGGAAGTGGTAAAACAACGATATTGAATAGTTTTGTAAATGCGGTATGTGGAATCAAGATAACAGATGATTTTAGATATATAATTATAAATGAAGATCATTTAGAACAGAGTGGAGATCAATCTAAAAGTCAAACAAGTGAAGTAACAATTTATAATATTAAAAGAACAAAAAGAACACCACCAATAAAAATAATAGATACACCTGGATTTGGAGATACAAGAGGAGATGAATATGATGTAGAAATTACCAGACAAATTAAAGAAGCATTTGAAACAAAAGTATCAGATTTAAATGCTATTTGTTTTGTTGCAAAATCAAGTAACACAAGATTAACAGAAAATCAACAATATATATTTGATAATATTATTGATTTATTTGGGAAAGATGTGAAAAAGAATTTTATTGCTATACTTACATTCTGTGATGGTCAAACACCAAAAATTCTAAGTTCATTACAATCAAAAGATTGTATTTTCAGTTTAATTATTCCAGAAATAGATGAACCATGGTATTTAAAATTTAATAATTCAGCTATTTATTCAGAAAATACTGAAGATAAATTTACACAAATGTTTTGGGAATTAAGTATGAAGAGTTTTGATGAATTTATTAAAAAATTAATAAAATTACCAAGAAAATCATTAGATAATTCCAGAGAGGTTTTGACAAAAAGAGAACAAATTAAAGCTCAAATTGAAGGATTGAGGAAATCATTAAATAATGCTCTGATAAAGAAGAATGAAATAAAAAAGACATACGAAGTATTTTATTTGAACCGTGATAAAGTTAATAATAATCAAAATTTTACTTTTACCATTGATGTAACAGTGCCGAAAAAATTTAAGTTAAAATCTGGAGAGCATGCAACTAATTGTGCTGAATGTTATAAAACATGTTGTTATCCATGTCGTGTTCCATTTTTTATTTCAAATTTTACAGCAAGAGGATGTTCTTGTATTTCATCTGGGCGTTGTACTGTATGTGGGTGTAGTTGTTCAGAACACAAAAGAGTATCATATAGAATTGATGATGTAATTGAAACAAAAGAACAAACAGCAGAAGAAGTACGCAAAAGATATAATGAAGGTAAAGAAGGTATGGCTAGTGCAGAAACTACGTTAAAAAAGTTAAGAGAAGACTACTATGAAATCATAATGAAATGTTATGAGAAACAAGAAAAAATTAGAGAGTATAACAATATATTATCATCAATTGCATTAAATAATAAAATTGATAGTTCTAATGATTATTTAGACTTATTAATTGAAAAAGAAAAAAAAGAACAAAGACCTGGATATTTGAAACTAGTAAATGGATATAGAAAACTTAAACAAGCAAATGAGATAATAGAAGATATTATGAGAAAATCAAGTTCAAAAAAGAGCAGAGAAGAGGTTAAGGCAGAACTTGAAAGAGGAATGAGTGAATTAAAACAATGAGAAAAATCAACATTAGGTAAATTCATTCAAAAAATGAGAAGTATGTTTTAATCTGATAAAAACAGATAATTAAATGAAAGTTTTAATTAATTGGTTTAAAAGTTATTATTTAATTAAGTAATAAAAATGATATACAATGTTCTTTATTTTCCAATCTGAAATTTGTTCATTTTTTATTATTAATTAAATTCTCTATGTATATTTGAATATAATACAATAAATGAATCAAATGAATTATCATAATGTTAAATATAATGTTTTAACATCAATATTAATTTCAATTTTTAAATAATTTAATTATTCTTTTCTTTCTTATTGATTGATATATCATTCTTTATATTTGTTTTATAATTCTCTTTTTATTCTTTATTTCTTTTTATTCTTATTTTTATATTCTTATTCTTATCTTTCTTTTTTATTTTATTTCTTTATATCTTTTATTTTATTTATTTTATATCTTTATTTTCTTTTGTTTATTATTTATTTTCTTATTTATTTTCTTATTTATTTTCTTATTTATCTTCTTATTTATTTATATTTTATATTTATTCATTCTTTATTCTTCATTTTGTTTTAATTTATATTAAAATTATTTAGAAATGAGAGAATATAATGATGAATTTGATTTTATATTTTGATTATTTCATTAATCAAATTGTTGATTAATGATTATTGTTGATAATTTTCATATTTCATTTTATTATTATTATTTTATTGATGATTTCATTATATTAATTGTTTATGATACAAATAAATAATTCTTATTGAATAATATCATCTGATTCATTCATTAAATGTTGAAATAAATAATGTAATTTCTAGTTTATTTTAATTATTATATACTTTTTATATTAATTTATATATTATTATAATATCAAATAGAATATTTAATTTAAATAAACAAATAAATTAATGATATTTGCCTATTGTTAATTAAATTATTATAGAAATAAAATATAGAATATTGTTATACATTAAAATGATTATATTTCATTTTTATTTCATTATTTATTATTAAATTATTTATTTTATTTTCAATTTAATAAATAAAGATAATAAACAATGAAATGAAATATTTATTTAATCATTTTATTATTTATTTTGATTAGTTATTAATGATTTTATTAATATTTAATAATATTAATATCATTTTAAATATTATTTAAATAAAATATCATTATTTATCATTAATATTTATTTCTAATTAATAAAATTATTAATTAACTTCTTAATGAATAGAATTATATCATTCATTTATTTTTATTAGGGTAATTGAATTTCCAATCATCCCATTTGCGAGAACACATATCAATTATTTCTTGTTCAGAGTGTTTGCATAATATTCCAATCATACATATTGAATTATTAATTCCATGACAATCCCGTGAGTGTTCATAACAAGGAATTGACATTTGTAACCCACCATTAATACCTAAAGCAGCAACAGGATCTCTTTCAGGGATTACAGCACGTGTTAATAAATTACTATTCTTTTTCTTGAAATTAAGACCTTTTGATCCTAAATAAGTACCAGGAGGTGATATTCCAAAACTCACTACTCCTAACTCATTCCCTACAATATTTGCAATTCCTCCACCAAGAGAATGTCCAATAAGAACAAATTGTTGTTGTGGTTTTTTCTTGGTTTCATCAAGTACTACATCTTTTGCAATACGAACTAAATCATAAGCAGTACTTGGAAATGCTTTTGATCCAAAGAGTGAAAGAATATAACTTATTTTTGAAAGAACTTGTTTTGTAAACACTGGGAATACTGAAACTGAGATTGTTGGAATAGATGATTCAGTAAATAATTTGAGATCATAAATTCCATCTGAATTTGAACCTGTTCCTCTGAATCCAATTACGTTGACATTTAATATATCATTATATCCTACTAAATAATGTAATAATCCATTGTCATTAATTGTAATACTTTTCCATCCTTTATTACATAGATAGTTTGTTATGTCTTTATATTTATTACTATTTAGACTTAAAGTATTTTTAGCATATGTTAAACTACTTAAACATGAATAATCAAATGGTGTAATACCATATGAATCACTTTCACATAAATGTGAATGTTCAACAACATCATTTGAAGGATCTAATATTTGTTGATAATATTTTAATTCATCGAATTGATCATCATATGATTTCCCTTCAATTATTTCATTCATTCTTGCTCTGAATGAAATATATTCATCTTCTTCATTAAACGAAGTTGTTGTTTTATTTTTTGTGTTACTCTTACTTGGTATGTATAGTACCCATATTATAAATATTATCAACACAATAGTTAATCCAGCTATGATAACCCATAAAATAATTGAAAATCTAAAATTAAATCCAAATGATTGTTTTATTATTTTGTCAGTATCATCTGTTTCTTCATTACTCTCTGTTTCTTCATTACTTTCTGTTTCTGTGTCACTGTATGTAATTGTAATATCTTTATTATCATCTTCATTATTATCTTCATTATCATCTAGTTTTTTGCTTAATGCTCTAGTTGATGGAATAAGACCAGATATAATTGAAAGAACAAATATGACCCAATACAATCTCATATCTCCATCATGCTGACTTGAATATACAGTAGTTATTATTAAACAGACAATGAATCCTATAAATAGAATTAAGAAGAAAATTTCCACAATAATTTCAAATATCATTTTTGTTTTTAAAACTGGTTTTTTACAAAAAAATGAAAAACACCAATCTATGAATCTGATTACACATGATAATGGTAAAAGATGTTGTATTATTTTTATAACAAAGTATTTTATGTCATCATCAGGTTTTAGATAATTTTTAACACTATAATAAATTCTGTATATAAAATCAGCAAAAACAATCAATACAAATGCTGCAGTAACTACAATTAATCCTATCAATAAATAACAATATCCAATAGAACTCAATACACTTGGTACTCCATGTTTTTTAGTTAAACAACAACCAACAATTAATCCAACAATCAGTCCAACAATTAGTACAAAAATCCCAATATGATGAACAAACACTTCAACAATACTTGTTATATCTTTAGGACAAAAGATTTTCTTTGATTTATTACCAAATGTGTTTTTTTCCTTTCCATCAGATTTTTCATGTACATAAAAATACTTGAATGATTTCTTTAGATATTCTATGGAGAATAATATAAAATTATAGATGAATGTAGCCCAGAACAATGATCCATAAATCATTACATAACTATATGCTGAAGTACAGAATAAATGACCAGTAGAAACAATGAAAAGAATAATAATTCAAATAAGTATCACCGCTGAGAAGAATAATAATTGGAATTGACATATAATGGAGATGGTTGATTTTATTAACATGAAACTGGAAAATAACTTCAAGAAAAACTTACCAATTTCTTTACATATATGTTTACTTACCATTTGGGAATATTGTTTGATGTGTTGTAAACCCTTAGAATAAATACCATGAATATTTCTAAATTTAGTCATTTACTGATTAATCATAGAAAATTTACAATAGATTAATCATATTTTTATAATACAAACATATTTACATTAATACTATTAATAAATAATCATTTCCATATTAACAATTATTATTTGAACAATGAAATGGTATTTTTATTATTGAATAGAATTATTTAATTATATAATTTAAAAAAAAACATGAAAACAATCGATATATCAGATATTCATATAACCATAAAATAAATCGAAATTTCTATTATAATATTGTTTGTTAATGAGAATGTTTTTAATAAATAACATTACATTCAACAATGATGTTTGTTGTTTATAAATTAACAATAAAAATAAATAAATAAAAAGTGTTAATAATGATTAACATTTAGTAACAGATAATTATCATGAAGTAAGTATAATAGAGAATAAAATGATTGAATTTGATATAAAGAATGATATCAAAAATAAAATAATTCAAATAACATGAATATAAATATGTTAAAACAACAATATAAATAATAATGAATATTCATTTAATTTAAAAGATAAAATAAATAAAAAGAGAATGAAAAAAGATTAGTAAAGAAAATAAAGAATGAATGATAATTAGTTATCAGTATGATAAAAAGAAAGAAAATAAATAACAACCACTATTAAGTCAATGAAATAAAACAATTAAATAATGAATAAGAATAAATAAAAAGAAATAAAACAAGATATAATCAATTAAATGAAATTTCATCATCATTTTCATATTTAAATTGTTAATACTTCATTTATCTTATTATTAAATCAATAAATAAATGAATATTCAATACATTTCATCACATAACAAACTAAATAATGAAAACATTAAATAAATATAAATGAAAATAAATCAAATTAATTAATTTTAATATTAATAAAATCATGAAACAATAATCAACAACAAATCATTGATAAATAGAATTAAATGAAATGATAATAAAAATGAATAAAATAAAATAATTAATATTTTAAATTTAAAAATAAATATAAATATAATCTCAATGTTATTAAAATAAAATAATTCACATAAATTTTAACGATAAAAATAAATAAAAAGGGGGTAAAAATGAATGAGTAATTTTATTCCATAATTAATTATAAAACATCTATCAATAACAAACTAATACATAAATAACAATAAATTATTAACAAATAAATTATATTTAAAATAATGAATGGTGTTTAATTTAAATTAAGAATAAAAACATGAAAAATATACCAAATGTAATGTCGATGAAAATAAAATAAAAGAAAGAGGAATTAAATTCAAACAATAATTTAATGATAAAAACAGAAAATAAAGGAAATAAAAGATAAAAGAAACGTTGAACATAAATTCAGAAAGATATAAACAATAGGCATGAATAAATTAATAATTCTATTTATTAAATTTTCATTATCAAAAGAATGTAGTGAATTTGGATTGTATAAATTCATAACAGATACAATAGCAGTGCATTTGAATGTATTGAATCAATTGAAACAATTGAAGAAAATAAAGCTATTATTAATGATTTAAAATATTATTTAGAAGGATATATATATTTAAAGATATATTAAAGAATTCACCACAACCATCATTTTCAAATAATTATTATGAAAAAGTTGGTATTGATGAACAATTAAATAAAATAAATACAAAAACAACAAGGATGTATGAATTCTATTCTCAAATTAAAAATCTCATTATTTCAACAAGAAATTCTCATTTAATTTTTAGAACAAGAAATGAAAATGAATTTTTTAATTTAAATGAAAATAATGAAATAACACTTTTCTATTATTTCCTTCCATTTACAATAAATATTGATAATGACAAGAAAATGTATTTAACTCCAAGGTATTACTATGGACTTAACTCTGTGAATACACCGAATGAAATAATAAATAATCAGAATGTAGCAGTTAAAACAATTAATGGAGAATATCCATTTAATATTATTCGTGAGTTTGGAAAGAAATACTCTGCTTTAAAATGTCCACATGCACAATTTACAGAAGCAAAAGATGATTTAGTTGAAGGCAGTTTGAGTTATTACCATTATCAAAAGAATATTTAAACACATCAATAAGTATTACATGGGAAAATGAAGAAAGTGTAACAGTTAATTATAATATACAGAGAAACAACAGATGTAACAAAAAGCAATGAAAAAATAAAACAAGGAATTAGAAAACCATTAACTGAAGAAGAAACAAAAGAAATGATCAATACAAAGAAAGCATTAGAAGAAAATGATAGAATTACCACTAAATTTATATCAAGTGATAATAATATTTATTGTACATTTTGTGTGAATGGTGTAACACATTAGTAGTTAAATCTTTTGATACAAAGGAAACAACAACATATGAAGATACAATTACAGAATGTATTGATTTATTTGATTCTAATAATTATCCTATTCAAGTAATATTCCCAAAGAATGGAGGAGGTTATATTATTTATTCACAATGGATAGAAAAGAGGTATCATCACCTGATGATGTTAATTATATTAGATCAACAAGAATATCAGACTATTCAGAAACTTTATTAAAAAAGGATATGCAATAAATTTATATGAACCAGAGACATGCCAAAGAAGAAGAGGAAAATTTATAAGCAGTGTTCCTCTTTTAAATTTATTCCCACTTGGAGAATGGTATACAAAACCAAATATTATTAAATATGGTGATGTTGAACATAAAATTACACAACGTTCAATTGAAGTTTTTCCAAAAAAGAAAATAATGAAAAATCCAAGAAAACCAACAGAAATAGTAGTTTATACAGATTCATATTGTTATTCTGCTTGTTCACTTGTTACAAAAGGATTAAAAGAATGTTGATGAGCTATTCTTGTTGGATTTAGTGGTGGTCCTAATGGTAAAGATGAAGAATTTGAAGTAGGATTATCACCAACTGTTGTTATTGATGATTCTATTCCTGTAATTTCACATCTATGGATAAAATATTATGGATATAAATATTGAATAAGTTTTATTGAAACATATAGATTTAATTATGAATATAATGAACGTATTCCTAGAGAATTCTTAACAGATATTATAGATGAAAGAGTGAATATTTATCAATTTTCAAATTATAAGATAAAAGAATTTGAAGAACAAACAAAGAAAATAGCTGATAAGTATAATGAAATTAATATAGAACATGGACATGGAGAATATGAATATGGAGATAATGGAGAATGGAGTACAAAATGTGTACTTTCATATTGTGATTCAGGATACAAGTTTGATTATATCAATAATAAATGTATTGAAGGAGTATGTTCAAAGGGAGTATCAATAAGCATAATAAAGGTAGTGATGATAATTGGAATAATCATATTAATTGTCTAATTGAAGAAGGTTTAATTTAATATTTAGTTTAATAAAATAAAATAGTGGATAAAGATAAATAAAAATATAAATATTGTTTTATATTAAATATAACACTCTCTTATTTTATTTGTTATATTCATTTTAATTAAAATAAAAATGAATATTTTATAATACTTAATTGATGTCATTATAAATATAATAAGTATTAATTATTTGTTAATTTATTCAAATTATACATTAATATAATGTATAAAAATAGTTATAATTATTCATGTTTTCATTTCATTTATTTGAAATTATTGAAATATAAACCATAAAATCATTAAAGTAAATTCAAATTATCATTTTGATTATTATTTTTCATATTCTTCATTATAATTTATTACTTTTTCTATTTCATATATTTTATGATTAACTTTACATTCAGAACTAGTTCTTGGATTAACAATATATTTGTTATCTTCTGTAACAATAATTCATAAATATTCATTAATATCAATCTCATCAAATTGCCATTCTCTTTTCAATATTATTTTAAGTTTAAGTAAATTAATAAAATTATTTGATATTTCTTGAACTTTTTCAAATCCAATCATTTGTTTTTTATACAATTCAATTTTATTTGTTATAGTTTGTGCATCAACAATATTATTAAATGATGAATGGAGTTTATCTAATTATTCTTGAGTAATGTTTATAGTTTTTATTACTCTTCCAAGTGGTGTATTATTATATAAAGATATTTTAGATGAATTATTTTGTTTATTTGTATTACTTGTTGGATGATTATCATTACCTCCTTGTTGTGAGTTGTTTGTTATTTTGTTTTGTGTTAACATATAATCTAATATATCTTTTATTTTAAATTATTGTATTAATGAATAAATATCAAAAATTGAAACAGCAACATCTGATACATCTTCTACTTTCTGTGTTATAACTTTACCAACTTCAGTTACTGCATCTCCCCCATAACTTTTTTAGTTTATTTTTTAATTCACTTATTTCTATTTTCAATTTATCTAATAAATCTTGGATGTTATCATGTTTTAAACTTCTGCTATTTCTTTAATCCTTTCTTTTGTGAATTCAATCTATGAATATTTGTTTATAAGAATCTGTGCTTCTGTATTTAATCTTTTTATAAAATTCACTAACATTTGAATCAATAAATAATGAAGTATATTTTATGTTAAGTTAATGTAATTCCAAGAATAGTTTCTGTATTTGTTAAATATAAATGTTTGTATTTAATTACAAATTGATTAATCATTTTCCTATGAATTGTCATTAATTTAAGTTATTCAAATGATTTATCACTTAAAAGTTGTTCTTGTCTTGTAAAATAATAATTCACTCTATTAATAACAAAACAAAATTCTACTCTTTTCCATTCATTTAATGTTGGTTGAATCTCTCACTCAGCTTCATTCAATACATCAATTAATGTTTTGAATTTATAATATAAACTTTTATATGAAGACATTAATTCATAAAATTTTAATTCTATGATTTGATACAAACTAGTATAACAATCTGTAATATAACCACTATTCCCATTAAAATTATTTTCAATATAAATACCACATATTTTACCTGTTTTTATTTCATTTCCATATTTTTCAATTAATTCTTTTGTTTTATATACATGAAATGTCAACTGACATATTCTCTTTTCATCTTCTGATGATTTTGAAGATAATTTTGTTGCTAAAATATTACACCAACAACTACATCCATGATACACTTCATAAAATGGAATTAAACAAATAGCAAAAGTTCTTAAAAGTCCATGTAGTTCTTCCTTTTCTGCAATTTGGTTGAAATCACTTTTAAGGATATCAGGAATAATAAACCAATGTTCTGATAGTTCATTTTCTAATCATTGATTTAAAATATTATGTATTTCACCGAAATGATTATTGAAAAAAAACAAGGTATTCTTTCCCATCTTGTTGAAAATGTACATCAGGTTCAACAACTATCTCGTTTTGTTCTTCTTGATGGTTTGAAATTTTATACCTATTTATGAAATTGAAATATATTTTGTGGATAATGTTCTTTAAGATATGCCATTTCTGCTCTTCTTTTCATTCTTTCATAATTATAATGTAATGTAATCATTTAATTCTGAAATAATGAGATTATCAAATTCATTTTATTTCATGTTTTTAATGAAAGAAGAGAACAATAAAGAGAAAGAAGAAATGAAATACAAATAAATGAACAAACAATTAATAATTTATCATTTGTTATTTATCATTAATGATGATAAATGAGAATGAGTTAATCATTCAAAAATAAGAGAATGATACTTTATTATTTCAATTCATTGTTGAATCAAAAATGAATCTGATGTAATTAATTTATTATATCATTTATATTTCTTGTTTGTTAATTTATTTAATTTAAAATTATACAACAAAGAAGAGTTAAATCACATTATATCTGTTTCATCTGAAACACAATTAGTGAATAAATTCAATGTTGTAGTAACTGTTGAAATATCATCATTTCAAGATGATTTCTAAAATTAAAATATACTATTATTCTCACTTCATTTTTATTGAAGAGATGTGATTTGAACATAAGAATTTCACTTCATATGAATGAGATCATCTTAAAATAAATGAAATAATGAGAAAGAGAAGAATAAATTCTATCATTATATAATTCTTTTCATTTAAATTATTACAAATATAATTAAGATATTAACTTAAAGATGAAGAAATAGTAAGATTAATACATGAAATTGATATTAAAATAGAAGATATTAATTAATATAAATAAGTAATAATAAAACCATTTAAAATAAAGAAAGAAAATAAGATTGAAGTCAATAGAAGAAATAAAGAAGAAATAATAATAATAATACACAAATTGATAATGAATTAAAATAATTAATACTTTCAATTTATTTGTTGAAATAAAAGAAGTAATAAAAATAAATAAATAAATAAGAAAAATAAGATATACTAACTTTCATTAATTTTTTATTTAATGTCTTTTCTTTGAATCTTTTCTTTCTTTTATGTCTATATCTTTTTCTTATATTTATTCTTTTTATAAATTTTACTTTTTGTTAAATCTGTACATGATAATTCAATATTTCTCTTATTTATTCTCTGTTTTTTTAACTCTTTAATTTTCTCTTTGTTAATAAACCTTATTTTATTAATTTTATAGTATTTCTATTTCTTTTACTATTACCTTTATTTATTTTATTTATTAACGATATTCCCTATGTTTATTAATCTATCTTCCTTTTATATTTCTTTATGTATTAATACTATAACTTATCCTATTTAATTTCTTAATTATTGTTCATGTTTCTTATATTAATATATTTTCCAATGTTCATGATGGTATTTGTATTAAATGTTTCATGTTCAATTTATTCTTTATAAATTGATGGATGTAATTCTTATTTGAATAAATGAAATAGAATTTTCTTGTTCTTCTGATTTTTCTTATTTTTTATTGTTGATTTCATTTGAAATAAAAAAGAAAGAGAGAAGAAATAAAGAAAAAGAAGTAAAAAAAGATAAAAGAAGTTGATAAATAAAAAGAAATAAAATAAGAAGAAATGAAGAAAACAATTACTATTAAAGACAAATAAGAAGTAAAATAAAAGAAGAATAAAATAAAATTAAAAGAAAAGAATAAAAAATAAAATAAAGAAGAAGTAAAATAAAGAAATAAAAGAAGAACAATAAATAAGAAAGATAAATAAAGGGAAATAAGAGAATAATAAAAAGAAAAAAGAATAAGAAAAGATAAAAGAAGTAAAGAAATAAAAGAGAATAAGAAATAAGAAAAAGAATAAAAGAATAAGAAATAAAAAGAAAAAGAAGAGAAAAGATAAAAAATAAAGAAAGAGTGGAATTTGATTTTTATATTTCATATTTCACAGATGAGATTACATCATTCACTCTCTATTAAATAAATTGATCATCAATTACTTCTTTATTTCTATACTTCATTTCAATTAAATCATTAAATCATTTATCATTAAATCATAATGAATTATATAATACATTAATCTTTTTACATTCACACCAATTCATTAATGAATAATTAAAATATTAATACTATTGATTGAGTTAGTTTTAATCGTTTTAATCTATTAATTTAACTTGTTTTGAAATAAAGAAAATTATACAAAAGAAAATTAATAATAAATAACAGATTTAACAATTTATCAATTATTATTATCATATCAGTTATTCATAAGAGAATATAAAAGAAGAGAAGAAAAGAAATAAACGAAGAATAATACAAAGAAGATAGAATAAAGAAGAAAAGATAAAAAGGAGAGAAACAAATAATAATAAAAATAAGAAGAGAAAGGAAAAAAAGAAGAAATAATAAATATAAGTAGAAAAATATAAAGAGAAATGAATAATCAGAAAAAGAACATAATATACTTTTAAGATATAAAATAAAAAGAAGAAGAGAAAAATAAAAAGAAGAGATGACAGAGAAAGATATGAAGAAGAATAAAAGAAAGAAGAGAAAAAGAAGAAAGTAGGAAATTGATGAAGATATTTGTAATGAAATGAATAACCATATTAAAGTAATGAGTAATAATCGATTTAAAGATAAAATAGAGGGAATAGAAGTAGATATAATAAAAGTATAATTTAACATAAAATCAGAAATAAAAGAAAGAAAATAAATAAAATAAGATATAAATAAAAAGAATAAATTAAAAGTATAAGTAAGAAATAAATTTAAGAAATATCAAAAGGATAAATAAGTATTTTAGTTAATGAATAAGAAAAGAAAGAAGAAACAAAGAATAATAATAAAATAAGAAGAGGAATAAAAAACACAAAAAGAAATAATAAAAGAATATATAAAAGAATACACATATAAACAAGTTTTAATAAATGAAAAGAATAAAATTTAAATGATAATAGAGAAAGTATTTGTTACAATAAAAGAATACTAATGAGTGAATTAGAAATAATAAAAGAAGTTATAGTTAAATGAAGAAATATGATTAATAGAATAAA